AGAGAGAAAAGGAAGGGTAAAAAAGGAAGGGTAAAAAATGATTTTCAAAACAAAAGAATATAAATAGTAGTAGTGAGTGTTGACTGAGTTTGAGCTTTCTCCCTCTTGTTTTGTGATTACTTCTTTGTCTTATTCGGTAAATACTAATGAGGGGTCTCGCTTGAATCTAGGGATGCTACAATGGAGAACCGGTACCCTCAGCGTCATCATGCTGTGCAAACACACAGACAAGCCAGGATCATTCTTCACCATGAATGGTACAAGGGGTTACAAAGAGGTAACCAGACTTACATCCTGTTTCTTTGTTTTTGGTAGGAAATTGTGACATTTAAAACTGGCTCTGACAGAAGCCAGGCTTGAATTAACATGGTATAATGCATAGAAAGTATTCTAAAATTCTGAGTATAATATTATGATAAATTAGTTATTCTTATTTTTGCATGGGAAAGCTTCTGGTGACTTTTTATTTTTAGAATGGGTCTGTGTAGCCTTAACCGATTTGGAGCTCACTATGGAGTCCAGCTTGGCTTTGAACTCCTCCTACCCTCACCCATTACTTCATTGGGTGCTGGGATTATAAGTGGTAGCCAACATACCTTTCAAATACTTACACTTTAAAACAAATGAACTTATAAATAGATGCAGGCTAATGGGTTCCAGGACGTAGCAGTATCTGCAGTTTCAGGCTAGCCTAGGCTACACATTAGGATCATGTATAAAAAAATCAAATGAATAATTTAAGTTAGGGGCTATCAATTAATAGTTGCTCAAAAATGTTAGTTGAAGTTCATTTTTGCAATACTGTTTTTAAAAAGAATTTAAAAACTATTTTGTGAGTGGTGGTGAATACCTTTAATCCCAGCACTCAGTAGGCAGAGGCAGGCAGATCTCTGAGTTTGAGGGCAGCCTGATCTACAGAGCAAATTCCAGGACGACCAGTGATATACAGAGAAACCCTGTATTGAACAAACAAAAAAACTACCCCCCCCAAAAAAAAACCTATTTTGCACGTGGCAAAATTTAACTGTTTTCTGACAAACAAAATAGTGGTTGATTCATCAATAAAACCAGCAATCAAAAACAGAGTTCTAGAATCCTTCCAAATCTAAACAACATGGACTCTTAAGGAAATTGCACAAGCACTGCCAGGGATTTATTAGCTACTTAACTGATAATTTTACACAACTTGCTCAGGACCAAAACCTCGGTCTTGAGATTTGAAAGCCAACTGTGCTTCATTTTGCCTGTTTACTTTCTTTTCTAAGAAATGTTCTCTTATTTAGAGAAGCAGACGCACTTTCCCTGAGATATCCTATGGGTCCTCGACCCCTGTGACTCCGACATCCTCTGACTCCCACCCCCACCCCCACCCCCGTCCCTGCCAATGCCCTGTTTCACTTGGGAATGGCATTATCTGCTTTTCGTGCCACAAACGGCAGAAACTGTCAGCACTCGAATTTCTAACTTGCTGCCCTAGTCTTGTTTTAAATGGGCGTCGGCGACCAGGGTGGCGTGGCTCTCTAAGCTCTGGGGATGCGAGCGGCCTGCATTCCTGCTCCTGGCTCGGACTCTACTTCCTCACCGGCCGCCCGTGTATAGTCCGGAACTGAGACAGCCTGTTGGAGGACAGTGTGCTCGTATCCCGGCTCGGGGTCGCCCCTGCACGGCCGACATCACCGAGTGGATTGTTCTGGGAACGGGCGCGTGCGCACAGGTTGCAGGAAGGTCTCGCCTGGACTTCACCCGGGCGCGGGCGGCCCCACTGCGCACGCTCCCTGCGGCGCGGGCGGGGCTCCTCCTCCTCCCGCCCCCCCTGCGCGCCGCCGGTTGCTGGTCCGGGTGAGCCAGCGAGCGGGGTGAGTACTCCTAGCCTCGGCGCCTCCTCCTCCGATGCCCTCAGCCCGCGCCCGCCTCCCGGGCCCTGAGCAGGGCGGCGGAGCGGCCAGCCCGGAACAAAAGGCCGGGGGGGCGGGCGCGGGCCGCCCGGCGACCTTCCACCTTGTGCTTGGAATGTGCCCACGTGACCTTGAAACAAAGGAAGCCAAGTGACTGTCAGGCCCACCTGAAGGGCTTCAGATTTACAGCCAACACCCCCATCCCCTCAGTCTATAAAGCAAGGAAGTGTTGGGGGGTCGGAATAATTAACCGATTTATAGAAGACAAACTTGCAGTTGTAGTGACAATTATGAAAATTTTGGTAGTAAAATCCGCGGTGGCCGCGTGTTCTTTCACAGTCAAAATGGAGTCCCAATTTCTGCTGTTACATCTTCGTGACAAGATGCAAATAGTTTCCAAACATAAAAAACAAACAAGCAAACAAACCCTGTGGGTTTGTTTTTGACACAGGGTCTGCTACTGTGTAGCCCAGGCTGGCCTAGAACTCTAAGCAGTGGTGCCTCAGTCTCTCAAGTGTTGGTGGGCACTCTCGTGCCTGGATGGTTTGGTCTGGGCTTGAAGTGGCCTCCCTCCTCAGCCTGTTGACACAGGGTCTGCTACTGTGTAGCCCAGGCTGGCCTAGAACTCTAAGCAGTGGTGCCTCAGTCTCTCAAGTGTTGGTGGGCACTCTCGTGCCTGGATGGTTTGGTCTGGGCTTGAGGTGGCCTCCCTCCTCAGCCTGTCCAACGGAGGGCACTTGCAGTCAAGGTTACAGGAGCCTTTTCGTCCGTGTTTGTACTCATTCCCTCACGTATGAGTGAGTGTACTTTGTCAATCGCATTGCTCTTTCCAAATTCAATAATTTCTTGCCAAAAGCTTACTTTGAGTCATTATAATCTGAGAGTGGCCTCCACTGTGGTGGCAAAAGAGTTCATTTATGGTTGTTAGGGGTTAGAGAACATAGACCCGGTGCAGTGCTCAAATCCATCTTAGGATCCCAGGTATGACTACTTACTACTCAGTGCTTCCAAAGCATCAGATACTGACAGGCAACATGACACAGAATGAAAACCTTAGCCGAAAAACAAACTGAGTGATGAGGAAGTCAAAGTCTCTCAGAGCAATTTTGAGAAGCGTCGTACCCAAGCTTGCTGGCCTGTCACTGTCATCCTAGCATGTCATAGCTGGAGGCAGAACCATCTCCGGTGTGAAGCCAGCCTGCACTACACACAGCCAGATCCTGTCTCAATGAACAAAAGCCAGCAGAAGATTGTTATTTATATTTTAATGGAGGAACTAGTGGAAGTAGTTCTCAGCTTGACTCATTGGAACATGGAATCTTACAGGATGAGGATAATATTAAAGATCTCGCTATAACTGGTAGTGCATCAGTCACAATGTCCAGTTTACCTGGTGCTGAGAATCGAACTCAGGACTTTTTGTGCAGCCTAGGCAACCACTCTGCCGACTGTACCACCCTGCCCCCACACTCCCCTGTTTTTTTTTTTTTTAATATTTGAGATAGGTCTTACAGAGTCTAGTGTGGATTTCACTGTCCTGTTGCCTCAGCCTCTAGAGGGCTGAGATTATAGACATTCCTACCATGCCCAGAACAAGTTATATCTTGATAGTACTCTTTAATGTTCAGTAAAGTTTTGAGAAACATAAGCATCCCTTTAGGAAAAACAGTAGAGCCTAGCTAAGTAGATAGTTTTGGACTGGGATTGATATGAATACTCATATCTTTGGAGCCTCAAGATGTACTTTGGACCTCTCAGAGGTAATGTTTGAGTCGCAAGTATAATCAACATCAGAAGGAAGAGCTATAGAGATAATTTGGTGATGGTACATCGAAAGTGGATCTCTTTTGGGGCCAAACAGGCTATGAAACACTTAGAAAACAGGGCAACTGAAAATATGCTGCACCTGAAGGATGGCAAGCTTCTGCAGAAGTGGGGGTCCCTCTGCTAGGCTTGGTTCATCAAATGCTCTCCGGTCTGTAGGGGCCAAGAAGAGTAATTACTAGTAGTTTGCCTTTGAAACTAGGGTCATTTCACATCATCGAATATTGTCTTTCCTGGAAGAGGTTTGCATCCACCCCCTCTGTGCTCTGCAGCCTTACAGTGGTCTGCTATTGCTCTCTGTTTTAAAATGGGATCTTTTGAGTTGGAAGGTGCTTTGTAAACTGTGTGCTTCCTGTTCCCCTGGTTTTGCTGTAGCCCTCAATCTACTGTCTAATCAGGCTATTTATTTGTCCACTCCGTGTCATTTTAACCTGTTCCTAGGGTCATTATCCCCTCTACCACTTACTCAATGCTACCAGTTTGTCTCAATTCATATTTCAATTGAATCCCAGGACTGGTGGAAGTCTCATTTCCTCTAGAGCACAGGCTGTAGTGTTTTTGGTCAGCTTACTACTAGCCATAACAAGCTCCTTATCTTGTATCTCAATTTCTTCATCTATAGAGAAAGTCATAATGACATACCTCACAGAGATGCTATGAGAATTTTAGTTACCGTGATTCTTGATGCATAAGAAAGGCTTAATAATGCTATTTTTAATTATTACATCAACCCGTACTAATTCCTTAAGCAGCACTGTAGAGTTTATCATTGATTTTGTTGTATTGCATTAATGTTCTTTTCAGCTTGAAAATTTTCATATAAAGTTGATTACCGACTGTTGAAAGCAAAACCGTGCTTTATACTTCTTTTTCAAAGTCTCATATCTCTCAGGATGATACTCAGGACTCAGTATACAAAGTTTTTCTTCCTGTCTTGTTATCTGGTTTCTTTTCTATTAGCCATTTTATCTGCGTTGCTTATAATTTTAAATTCGAATCTTGTCTGTCCCAAAAGTATCTGAGGTGACTTACTACCCATAAATGATAATGGCAAAGATAAATCATGGTCATGAAGATATGAAGCTCAGCTAGAAAGATGACATTAAGATGAGTCACACCAAAATACAATCTATGAAAAGTTGCACATTTTTTTTCTGTTTCTATATAATCACTAAAGGTAGCCTCGGATGAAGTTCTGAGCTTCATGATGGTCCAAGGAAAGAAGGAAATAAATCACACACTCTAAAAACACAGCTTCCTGTGTTCAGATAATTGGGAAATCATTGCCTGAGGTGGTGCCATCACTCTGGATTCCCACACGAGCAAACAAAAACTCAACTCAGTGGAAACTGTCGTGTTCTAGGAAAACAAAACGTAAGCTCTCTCTAGCACTGACCTCTAGCTAAGGAATTTCCGCTGGAATGACCCGAAGAAAGCCATTGCTTCCCTTACAGCCGCCAGGTGCCTCCCTTTGCCATGTTCTGTGTTCGTTCCGGGGGGGGGGGGTGGGGGGGGCTTTGCTCGAAGCTCTTGTCTCCTCTAGCCGGTTAAAGGTTCAGCACCACAGCTGGCCATCTGTGTGGGGAATGCAGGTCGTGGTCATAGTTCAGAGGGGACACAGAAGCTCTGCTTCTCCTCATCGTGTGTTGACCTGTGACTGACTGACACCTTTTACAGGAGGCCTGTAGGTTGTTTCTGTGATCTTGTCATTTCTGTTAATCAGTTGGCATTGTTTTTATTTCATTCACAGCTTATAAATTTGGGGGTTTGGGGGAAGGTAATGGCTAATCTGTCCCCTCAGCCCCCCATTGCTGGCTTTATATCATAGTATTCATTGCTTCACATTCTCCTCTGGCCGTGCACATTACATAGTTAGAGAGACCATGGAGGTTGTGAAGCCAGTAGGAGAAAGGTGACTTAGTAAGTACGTTCCCTTTAGGGAAATACAGAATGGAGGAAAGTAGAATGCTTCCTGTTTCCTCCTGGGACTTCCTCTGCAGAGGTCAGCAAAAATATCAGCTCCAATCACTGAGTGCCCCCTGCGATGTTGTTTCCTGTTTAAGCTTTGATTGGTGCTTTGCTCTGTAAGAAGGCGGGGAGAACTGGCCTGCTAGACTGACTGACCTGCCTTCCTCCTCCTGATGCTGCTCACGCTGGTGGTTGGTTAGTTGGTCAGCCCCCCTGATTACTGCTGTGTGTCCTGCAATCCAGGCGTTAGCCACCACCCTAACAAATGATCTGCTTTTGCTCTCAGTTTTCTGGCACGATGGCTTCTCAGTCATTTGTGTGGTAATAATTAGAAATATTTATTGGGTATATGTGTGTATGGAATCATGTACACTTTTTGGTCAGGGCATAGGATTTCATATGAAATCTACACTTGAAAGCCTGATTTCTCAACCAGGGGACCTCTGCCAGGGGGCCCTCCAAGGTGTGTGATTAACCAGTTTACACGAGTCCAAGCCAAGTTAATGTTTACCTCTCATAGCTAGAATTGTCTCCCTTGTCCCTCCTCATCCTTCCTTACTCCCTCTTTCCATTACTGACTCGCAGGCTCAAGTGAAAACTCTCCTTGTGCCACTGTGCCTGGTGTGGTAGTTTGAATGTAACTGGCCCCCATAATCTCATTGGGGTGGCGCTAGTAGGAGGTGTGGTATGTGTAGTCGGTGTGGCCTTATTGGAGGAGGTGTGGAGGCGGATGGGCTCATACATGCTCAAGTGCTCAGTGTGACAGTCCACTTCCCAGTTTGCCCTGTGACCAAGGTGTAGGCAGCACCATGTCTGCCTGCAGGCTGCCATATTGTCTACCATAATGATAATGGACTAAACCTCTAAAACTGTAAGCAAGCCACCCCAATTGAATATTTTCCTTATAAGAGTTGCCATGGTCATGTGTGTCTTTACAGCAATAGAAACCATAACTAAGACACCCGGTTTGGAATGGCATAACAGTGTGGGATTCCTTTTTAGTGTGGTATTTAAGTTAAATTTTCAAGCTAGCATATAACGTGGTTGATATTTTCATACATTTGTGTCATTGTATTGTGTTCTTACGCATCTGTCCCTTCCACTGCCCTTCCTTAACCCCCTGCCATCTGCTTAGAGGGTCCCTTTCTTCCTGTATGCTTTGATATCACATCAATTCCATTACCTTTATCCCAGCATTACTTGCTACCTCTCACGGCCAGTAATGTAGAATTCTTCCCATTGCAAACATAGATGTGGTGATATTTTGTTTATGATCTAACAAACAAAGCTTACCTGAAGATCAGAGTGAAAAGGTAGCCACGCTGGTTAGCCACAGAGGCCAAGAAGTGATGGCACACACCTTTAACCCCAGCACTCAGGAGACAGATGCAGATGGATCTTTGTTAGTTCAAGGCCACCCTGGACACACGAAATTGATCCAGTCTAAAAGAGAAACAGAACTCACACAAAGGTGATCCCAGCTCTTGGAGTGACACACCTTTAATCCCAGCACTAAGGAGGGGACAGGAAGGGATGTGGCTGGGCAGAGAGAGGAATATAAGGCAGGAGGAGATAGGAGCTCATGCAGGCAGTCTGAGCAGCAGGCAGTCTAGGCAGTCAGTCTGAGGATTCATAGGGAGAGGATTGCCCCTTTAGTCTGAGGATTCAGTAGAGGTAAGAGGTCTCTCTTGTGGCCGGCTGCTTTCCTATCTAACCTTTCAGCATTTACCCCGATATATGACTCCAGGTTTTTCTTTTTTCTTTCTTTCTTTTTTTTTTTTTTTTTTTTTTTTTTTGGTTTTTCAAGACAGGGTTTCTCTGTGTAGCTTTGAAGCCTGTCCTGGCACTCACCGTGTAGACCAGGCTGGCCTTGAACTCACAGAGATTCTCCTGCCTATGCCTCCCAAGTGCTGGGATTAAAGGTGTGCACCACCACCACCCAGCCAGGTTTTTATTTTTAAGACCTATTAAACTCATGCTACACATAGATGAAGTTGCTTCCTTTCACTAGTGAAAAATGTTTAAGTATATGCATAACATATTCTATTATATATGTGTATATATTTATTTATACATAACCTTAAGTCTAGGGAAATATATATATGTATGTATGTATGTATGTAAAATCATGACTCAATATATGCTAACTTATAGATTCATCAAAAGAAATATCCTTTTCAAGAAAAAAATCACACACAGATTTAGTTCCATACACCTTAGATTAAAGATCACATAAAAGTATGTAGTGTGGTAGTGAGGAAACTGTTTTTAGTTAAATAAGCTCATCTGAAGAATGGCCATATGTGGGATTCCAGCTCAGTGGCCTGCAGCAGGGGTGGCTTCTCCACTCTCTCTCTCCAGAGGGCTTTGGAAAGGTAGGGAAAAATGATTCTGTCTTTTCAGTCTTTGAAGTCGGCCTGAGTGATTGCGAAAAGGTTTGTATTGAGTTTAAAAAACAAAACAAACAAAAACATCCAGCCTGTTGAGTCAAATCAAGACTCAAGCCAAGCAGATGTATTACCTCCTTACACATTATGACACAAGGAGCTGCATCTCATTTCCAGTTTTTATGTATAATTAGAAATGACAGGCGTGCTGTTTAAGATGAGCGAGGACTTGCTATTTTCCTGCCTCAGAAGCTTTCTAAGTGTTAGGATTAAAGGCATGGGCCACAACTCTGAGCTAGAAGGCATCTTTTTACTTCACAATTGTTCTGTTGTTACCTCTAAAGTCGAAATTTACTTAAAAAAATTTTTTTTTGAGATAGGGTTCCATGTAGACCAGGCTAATCTCCAACTTGCTATATTTCTGAGGGAGGGTAGCCTTGAACTATAGATCCTTCTGCCTCCACCTCCCAAATGTTGGAATTATAGGTATGCATTTACATACCTGGCTAGTCTGGCTGGGCATGGTGCCCCAAATCTGTAATCCTAACATTGGAGAGGGTGAAGCAGGGGGATTCCTCAAGCTTAAAAGCATGGCCTGTATGGGTTGCAGTGTAAGGTTCTCTCTAGACCCATAAAATAAGGAACTTGTCTAGAAACACACATTCACATGCACTAGGTTTTTAAGGCAAATGAGATTATTGTTGCTGTTACTGGTCAATGAGCCACATTTGTAATTTTCATTTTTGGCCACATTTCCAGTCATCCCTTGTAGGAAGCTCTGAGAAAATGATTTTTGCTTCTGGTAGTTAGGGAACATGGCAGAGGCTTGAAAGTATGAGTAAAAATATTGATTACATTGTTTTTATTTTTAATGAGTTGAGATATTCTGACTTGAGCAAAGAAACAGTTATTCATTGGTATTTCACTATGTAACATCATGAGGATCTAGGTGGAGATTAATACCCCTTTAATACCGTATACTTTCTGATTTGGTAATAAAGTTGTGTTTGCATCACAATATATGACATCCTTCAGCAAAACTCAGTTCTTAGATAATTTTAAAAGTATACAACCCAATATTAATTAGTGTTTTGATGTTCAGTCGTCTTGCTCCTAGCACAGTGATGTTAATTAGATAAAGTATGGCTATTGAGTGAAATTTTATGTTTCAACTAGCATTTTTAATAGTTCAGTAAATCTCAAGTACCTGGAGGGCTTAGGGGATAGATTGTTTTTCTATTTTGTTAATAAGAGCTGGCTTGGAATTGTAAAAATTCATAAGTATATATTGTGTTTCCTGTTTTTTTAATTTATTTTTATTCATTTATTCTTTTGAGACTGTGTTTCATTATGTAGTCCTGGCTGGCGTTTATCTTACTGTGTAGACCATGCTGACCTCAACTGACAGAAATAAGCCTGCCTCTGTCTCCTGAGTGCTGGAATTAAAGATGTACACCACCAGGCACGGCATAAGCATAAATTCGTAATGAATTAAATTCTCTTTGTGTTATGTCATAGTGTATGTTATGGTCATGCAGTTGGAAAACACATCTTTAGGATAACTCCATTTCAGTCTTCTAGACTAGTTCTACAATCTCTCTCTAAGTGATGAGATAGACTCTTGTCGTCTGTATGATGCTGATGATGATGCAGGATCTTTCTCTCCAGCCCAGAGTTCTTCCCTTCTGAGATGGACTTATCTCAAAATGCCTGCTAGACTTGTGGTTTGTGGATCAACAAACACTTCTGTCAAACCCATGCTAAACTGAACCTACTTCTCTCCTAAACGGTGGTCTTCCTCCAGGGATCTCTGTTGAAATGCACTGCCACCTAAAGGCAGAGCTTGGAATCATGCTCAGCCCTTCCTTTTGTTGCCTTAGAATCCGCCCCCCTGGTGTGTTCCACCCCCCATCTTCCCTCCACATGGCATTTCTGAGTCTCTTGGATTACCAAGAGCCTTTTAGCTGATTTCACCCAGTCATGACAAGACCGCTGACTCCACGGACAGCCAAAGTACAA